GACGGAGCTTCGCTCTTGTTACCCAGGCTGGAGTGCAATGGCGCGATCTTGGCTCACCGCAACCTCCGCCTCCTGGGTTCAGGCAATTCTCCTGCCTCAGCCTCCTGAGTAGCTGGGATTACAGGCACACACCACCATGCCCAGCTAATTTTTTGTATTTTTAGTAGAGACGGGGTTTCACCATGCTGACCAGGATGGTCTCGATCTGTTGACCTCGTGGTCCACCCGCCTCGGCCTCCCAAACTGCTGGGATTACAGGCTTGAGCCACCGCGCCCGGCCATTTTGACAATTATTTTATTCCCCGTAAATTTGCTGCAGAAGAATGAGAGTGAGTTGCTTAATTATTCAAGGCCTAGCTTTTTTTTTTTTTTTTAAATTGAGGTGGAGTCTCGCTCTGTCACCCAGGCTGGAGTGCAGTGGCACAATCTCTGCTCACTGTAATCTCTGTCTCCGGGGTTCAAGTGATTCTCCCGCTTTAGCCTCCCGAGTAGCTGGGATTACAAGTGTGTGCCACCATGCCTTGCTAATTTTTTGTATTTTTTATTAGAGATGGGGTTTCACCATGTTGGCCAGGCTGGTCTTGAACTCCTGTCTGCAAATGATGTGCCCACTTTGGCCTCCCCAAGTGCTGGGATTATAGGTGTGAGCCACCGTTCTCAGCCTCAAGGCTCAACTTTGAAACTGTTTTGAATATAATCCTATCTCATTGGAAAAAGGGGAGAAAGAAAAATTAATTATTTTACATAATTTCTGATTTAAAAATCCTCCAAATTATTGATTTAAAAAATTGATTTCAGTTTAGCTCAATACATAGGTGAATTCTTGGTAATGGGTCATTATAGCATATTTGGAAATATCTGTGATTGTTTTTATGGACTAGAGCTATTTTAAATCACATTTGTATTTTTAATAGGATCATGACCGTCGGGTCCGAGAAGCCACACAGCAAGCTTTTGAAAAACTTATCCTTAAAGTAAAGAAACAGTTGGCTCCCTACTTAAAAAGTTTAATGGGATATTGGCTAATGGCTCAATGTGATACTTACACACCAGCTGCGTTTGCAGCAAAAGATGCATTTGAAGCGGCTTTTCCTCCAAGCAAGCAACCTGAAGCCATAGCATTTTGTAAGGATGAAATTACAAGTGTAAGTTCTGGAATCATTCTGAATCTTTTTTTTTTTTTTTTTGAAGTGTTTCAGGGTTATAAGAATACCATAATGACAGCTCTTTTACTTAGGATTGCAGGGGAATGAGTAAATATATTTCCAACTGAAGATTGCCTTTTTAAGATTCTGTTTAGTAAAGTTGACTAATTTGGATCTGTGACAAATTAACATTTTGGATTGGATCTTTCTACAGTATTTCCATTTTTCATTTTAATTTTGAAGTCTTTATTATAGTTTTAAAAAGTAGATATGTTTTATAATGTGTAATCTAAACAAAGAATATATTTAAGAATAAATTATTTTCTCTCATATTTCCATTTCAATACATATATACAGATCTACCTTAGTGTCTTTTTATTGGCTTTCTGGTGTAACTTTACATGAATGTACTATAGTTTAGCTCTTTTTATATTAATATACATTTGGATTTTTTTTTCCAATTTTTTATCATAACAAATGCTACTTCAGTAAACATTCTTGAGTAGAACTCTTCATACCCTTGTGGGAGTGATACATACTAGAACTTATAGTAAGCATTTGTTAGGCCAAAGGATAAGAACATTAAAAATTTTTATAAAAAATGATAAATGGCCCTTCAGAAGGCCAAACAAATGTATACTCCCATTATCAGTTTAAGTTTCTCCACACTGGGCCAACACTTTGCCATAACTTTTTCATAAAAAGTTATCAGCCGTACCTATTTGTGGCTTTCAGTGTGTCTGTTTCTAGTAATGTCTTATTTCTTCCCCCTTTATTTGCTATTCCTAATATATGGACTTGAAAAACGAGACAACAGAGTTGTTAGAATTATATGGAGAAATAAAAGTAGATGAAGTAGGAGTGAGGAGGGACTTGATAATTAAAAAAAAAAAACAAAAAACGATGCTTGCATTTATTCCCTTATTTAGTATTCCTATGTTTCCACAACACCCTGCGTATAACCCTACTTAAACATTTCTGTCTGACCCTCTCTCCCTGCTTTCCTTTCTCCTTTCAATTAGCCGTCCTTCCTGCGGCTCTCTATTACACTATAAATTCAAATTTCTTGTCTTGACATACATTTGTCTTATAGTGTAATATAAGACAAATTTTTTTTTTTTTTTTTTTTTTTGAGACGGAGTTTCGCTCTTGTTACCCAGGCTGGAGTGCAATGGCGCAATCTCGGCTCACCGCAACCTCCGCCTCCTGGTTTCAGGCAATTCTCCTGCCTCAGCCTCCTGAGTAGCTGGGATTACAGACACGCGCCACCATGCCCAGCTGATTTTTTGTATTTTTAGTAGAGACGGGGTTTCACTATGTTGACCAGGATGGTTTTGATCTCTTGACCTCGTGATCCACCCGCCTCGGCCTCCCAAAGTGCTGGGATTACAGGCTTGAGCCACCGCGCCCGGCAAGACAAATTTCTTATAAGAAATTTGAACTTACAATGTAATATAAGAAATTTCTTGTCTTATATTACACTGTAATTACGTTCAAATTTCTGCATGATCTGGTCCCTGCTTACCTGTCTAATCTCTTCACCCAACACTTCCCGACAAATTACATGATTCTAGTTCCCCATTTAGGTTCTTCCATTCTTCATTTCTCAGGTATACCAAGCTTGTTTTTCTAGGGAGAAGGTTTATAGCTTTAATCATATGCTCAAAGGGAGTTCTCTATAGCCCATCTGTAACTTGAGAATTTTTGGTTGATTTAAAATGCGAAGTGATAAATGTTATGAGAGTGAAGTGTTATGAGTTTGGACACTAAGAGCTTTAGGAAATGGACTTTGAGACAACCAATTTGGCTCTTCATAGGCTTTTAAAAAAAATAAATTTGTTCTTGGCTTTGTCATGGATGGATAACAGAATGAACATATGGGTTCTGTTATCCATATGTTCATTCTTCCGTTTTATTTTCCCTTTAGTTGTCTATGCCACAGTTTATTACAGCTATTGGCATCGAATTGTCTCAAATTCCAAACCCATGTATTAGAGAGGAGGCAGGCAAATGAAAATCAAAATATCAACATTAGAGATAGTATATCATACTGTCTCTATAAGACATGTGCTCTGGGTCACACCATTAGTTCTAGTCCCACTCTGCCATCAGGTATCAACTAGGTGTTGTATGACCCTGGGCAAGTTTCTGTGCCTTCATTTTGTAATTATAAAGCAGGAATTAACTTGCACTTCATGGAGTTGTTGTGAGGATTAATTTAGTTAATGCCTAAAATGTGTTCAAAGCAACACCTGGCACATATAAAAGCTCAATAAATGTTGTTTTCATTGCTGATAAAGTAGTTACTGGAACAATGGATGGACTCCCTTGCACTACACCCCAGAAGGAAACAGACTTCTCCACGTTTGAAAACCTCATACCTTCCTCTCTGATGGAGCAGAGCACAACGTGTGGTGTTCTTTGTAGACAAGCAGGCTTACAAAAAGAGGGGAAAGCAGAGCCCAATTTCTCTCCCAGATTCACAAATTCATTTCATTGCTGTGTGCAAGAGAAATGGGGGAACAAGTGGTCAGGAGTATTTATAGGCGCATAGGGAAGAAGTATCTATCCTTATTCTAACAGTAGCTAACGTTGGGGATTGATAGGAAAAGAAAAATTGATAAAATTCAAATCTTTTAGTTTTGCTATTTGATTCTGCTCTTAGGTAAGATGAGGTTTATGTGGATTTTTAAAAATGGATTTTACAAAACTAGGCTTTGTGTGTTCACTATTGACAGTTCAGTAAAACCAAAGGCTTTGGTATTTTCCCCCCTTTGTAGGTGCTGCAGGATCATCTTATAAAAGAAACACCTGATACACTCAGTGACCCGCAGTAAGTTGTATTGGTTCTTTGTAACTCATGTTAAGGATTTGTTTCACTCATAAGTAATCAGATGATATCAATGTGACTTTTTTTTTTTTTTTTGAGATGAACTCTTTTTGCCCAGGCCGGAGTACAGTGGCTTGATCTCAGCTTGTTGCAACTTCCGCCTTCTGGGTTCAAGCAATTTTGCCTCAGCCTCCCGAGTAGCTGGGATTACAGGCACCTACCACCACACTCGGCTAATTTTTTTGTATTTTTAGCAGAGATGGGGTTTCACCATGTTGGTCAAGCTGGTCTCAAACTCCTGACCTCAGGTAATCTGCCTGTCTCGGCATCCCAAAGTGCTGGAATTACAGGTGTGAGACACTGTGCCCGGCCCTGTTTACTTTTAAATTCTAATTCAAGTTTTAAGAGTGCTTGAGGGAAAATAGTCTTAGATAGCTTGATATCCATTCCCTGGAATCACCCTTGTACATGCTACTGACAGCACTATACTTGCTCACTTATTTCAAGCCTTTCATCTTCTTTCACCTAGTATTATGAGTAAAGTGTGATTAAATTTCTTATACTTTGAGGGTCGTTGGCATAGGGGAAATAGATGATAGAAATAAAGCAACTTTGGTAGATATTTAAAGATAAAAACTTTTAAAATAGAAGTACCAGATATATAGTTTGGCTTATTCTAAATTTTTTAATATATTATTTTGTTTTATATTAAGAACTGTTCCAGAGGAAGAAAGAGAAGCTAAATTCTACCGGGTTGTAACTTGTTCCTTATTGGCATTAAAGAAATTGCTTTGCCTCTTACCTGATAATGAGCTTCATTCTCTGGAGGAGAAATTTAAGTCTCTTTTATCACAGAATAAATTTTGGAAGTATGGAAAACACAGTGTACCTCAGGTATATTAATCTTTTTTACCTTAAGACATTTCTCTGATTCCTTAACCCCATCATCTTAGTTTATGTTTTATGTTTATTGTTTATATTTAGAACTCTGCAAGCACATCTCTGTTGTAGGCTATTCATTTACTGAATTACATCTCTTACTATAATGTTACTCTATTTTTACTTTTTTATTTAGTTTTGGCCTCAGATTCAGAATTATCGGTATGAATTACCATACTCCTTTGTTCATAGCACCTTAAAATTGGTATGTGCAAGGCTCTTCTCACTTAATGTATTTATTTTTTACCTTTTGTCCAGCTCTCTCTCCATTCTCTACTTTTACTGGCTGACTGGTCTACTATGTTTAATATATGTCCTTTTGTTTGTACAGTTGATTCTCATCATTCATAGTAATTACATTCTATAAACTCATCTTGAATACTGACTTAGTGAATACTGAGGGATTGCTCTTACGGGAAATACAGGGTTAGGTTCTTGTGATCCCCTATTGACAGCATTTTTGTCAGTTAATAACTGACATAACCATTACATAACCTTGTTTTATGTGTGTTTCTGCTTAAAGACACCTTATTTCATAGCTATTGTTGATTCATTAGCATTGAATTCCTGGCCAACAGCACTAAAACTCATGCCTGGATAAAATGTATCTACCACATATTTTCTTTGTAATGCACATCACAGCATTCTTGTGTTTAGACACAATAGACAGCACTTCAGTGCTGCTGCTTGGAGGCCATTTAAAACGTGAAATCACCAATCAAAAGCACAAAAATTTGAAAAAATACTATGAAAAGGACACTTGTTTACAGTATGAGAGTTGAAATAAGGGAGTGTCTGTTGCCTTGTTCTGTCTCAGCTGGGAATGTGCATGGGGATGACTTAGATTTTTCACCATTCTATGCAGGTCCACAAATAGCTGCAAGACACTGAAAGTTTTTTTTTTTTTTTTTTAATCCAGACAGAATTTTGCTCTTGTCACCCAGGCTAGAGTGCAATGGTGCAATATAGGTCACTGCAACCTCCACCTCTTGGGTTCAAGTGATTCTCCTGCCTCAGCCTCCCAAGTAGCTTGGATTACAGGTGCCTGCCACCATACCTGGCTAATTTTTTGTGTTTTTAATAGAGATGGGGTTTCACCATGTTGGCAAGGCTGGTCTCAAACTCCTGACCTCAGGTGATCCACCCACCTCAGCCTACCAAAGTGCTGGGATTACAGGTGTGAGCCACCTTGCCTAGCCTAAGATGCTGCAAGTTTTGATTTTGGGGTTACAAATAAATTTTAGCAAGTAGGTGAATTAGCAAATATGGGATTTGTGAGGATTGACTGTATTTTTGAAAAATATGCTTTTGTGTTCGCTTGAGTTTTTAATTCACATAAATGGTACTGTGTTATATTTTATTGCATTTATTGCTTTAAAAAAAATCTCTCATTTTCCTATATGTACATCTGATCTATGACTTCTGCCTGCCTTGTAGTATTCAGAAGTTTGTACGTACCTATTCATTTAACCTGCCCATTCCTCCAGTGATAGATCCTGATTGCTTCCAACTCCTTGCCTTCATAAGTAATGCAGCAATGAACATCTTCATTTATGTGTAATTATCTGAATTGCGGAGTCAATAGAGGGTGTGCATACCTAATTTCCTGAAATAGTGCCAGATTGCTCTCCTGAATGGCTGCATTACTCTAGACTCAACCATTAATACATGATGACTCCTATACTGCATAACCTTATACTCTAGCCATCACTATGCAACATTAGCATTTGCTGCTTAATTTTTCATCAGCCTAATAGGAATTCAGGTGATATTTCTCTTTAATTTGAATTACCTTTTTTTTTTTTTTTTTTTTTTTTTTTTTTT